ATTTGTTTTCTAATTAATCAAATAAATATATGTATGTTAATCACACTCAGTTGATATAATTTCAACTAAAAGCAGAGACTTGACAGTTTATCTTTCCTATATAGTCTTGAAGGTAAATGTTTCTTCAATTTTTAAAAGTACTCATAAATCACTGGCCCTCATAAATGTTTTTGTGCATCTTTAGGACCTTGAAACAGCATTAAATAAGGTAATTACCAAAATTAGTTCTATAGTCACACTTCAATTGTCTACAAAGTGCTGTCTAATAGAAAGGAAATGTGGGGATCCCTGGGTGGCGCAGCGGTTTAGCGCTTGCCTTTGGCCCAGGGCGCGATCCTGGAGACCCGGGATCGAGTCCCACATCAGGCTCCCTGCATGGAGCCTGCTTCTCCCTCTGCCTGTGTCTCTGCCTATCTCTCTCTCTGTATCTCTCATGAATAAATAAATAAAATCTTTAAAAAATATTATTTTAGTACAAAATCATTAGCAAAGTTAATCATTCAACAAAAGAATTATATTAAAAACACTAGGAATTCTTAAAATTCAATTAAAAAACACATAATCAGTGGAAAAATAGACAAAGAGAACTGACCACTTTACGGAGAAGATTATACAAATGACCAATAAATATGTTAAAATATGCTCGACTTCATTAGTAATTATGGCAATGCAATTTAAAGCCACAGTGCAGAGGGGAGATGGGCCTAGTATCAGGAAGAAAGAGGACAAACTGAAATACATCTGCATTCCTGCAAGTTTCTTTCCCCACTTGTAACCAAAGTAAACTTTAGAGTATAATACCCATAGCTTCACTTCCACCTCCCAAATCTCATGTCACTTTACTTTTAGGGAACTTTAACAGGGAATAATAAAGGAAGGAAGATTCGGGGGCAGCCTGGGTGGCTCAGTGGTTTAGCGCTGCCTTCAGTCCAGGGTGTGATCTTGGAGACCCAGGATCGAGTCCCACATCGGGCTCCCTGCATGGAGCCCACTTCTCCCTCTGCCTGTGTCTGTGTCTCTCATGAATAAATACATAAAATCTTTAAAAATAAATAAAGAAAGGAAAGAAGGAAGGAAGGAAGGAAGGAAGGAAGGAAGGAAGGAAGGAAGGAAGGAAGGAAGGAAGGAAGATTCTAGGAAATTTAGTTCCCAGTATAAATAGATTGATGGTCTGAACAGCCTAGCACAATGAGATACCACTACTTGCTCACCAAACTTTCTAAAATAAGAGACTGATGATATCAAATGTTGGTGAAGCATGGCACAGCTCGAATTCTCATACATTGCTCATGCAAGTATAAATTGGTAAACTTTATTGGAAAGCTTCTTAGCATTTTCTTAAATATGCACAACCTAAATATTCAGCGAGAGAGAGAGAGAGAAACGTGTAAAAATGTTCATAGAAGTATTATTTATAATGGTTTCTCCAAAGTGGAACCCAAATTTTAACACCATAGATCAGTTTTGCTTGTTTATAAATTTTTGTAAATGGAATAATAAGTATATACTTTGTGTTGCTTATTTTGCTTAAAATTATGTTTGAGAGATTCATTCCTACTGTTGATTGTAGCTAAAGTTTTTTCATTTTCATTATTGTGTAGCATTCCATCATGTGAAAATGCCACAATTTATTTGTCTATTTCACTCTTGATGGTCTTTGGGTCAGTTTCTATTTGGGGATAATTAGTGTTGTTTATGGATACTTTTGTACATGTCTTTTGTTGAATATTATGTTTGCATTTCTTTTAATATATAACTTAGAGCAGAATTATTGTGCCATAGTATAAATTGAACATATATCCATTTAATTACATTAACTGCCAGTTTTCCAAAATGGTTGTATCAATTTAAAATGATTGTACCGGTTTACACTCAGCTAAAACTGTGAGTTTTACATGCTCTGTGTCCTCACCAAGATTTGGTATTTGTTGTTTTTGTTGTCGTTGTTATAATTGTATGGACATTCATTTGTTCTAATCAGTTCTTAAACATAAATGTGTGGTATCTCATTGTGGTTCTGTTTTGCATTCCTCTGATGATTAGTGAAGTTGAAAACTTTTTTCTCAAGTTTGTTGGTCTTTGGATATCCTCTTTTAAGGAATGCCTGTTAGGTCTTGCCTATTTTTAAATTTCTGATGTTCTCTTACTGGTTTATGGAGTTCTTCACATATTCCAGATAAAAGCCGTTTGTTGTGGATGTGTATTGTAAATACCATCTCCGATTTTTAGCTTTCCTTTTCACTCTCTTGTGTCTTCCAATTATGTTATTAATTTTAATGTAGTCCAGTTTAACAAAATAATTTTTTATTTATGTTTTTATTTCTTTGTGTCCTGCTAGAAAAATCTCACATCACTCACACCATACCTCACCCATGTTGGTCTTTCAATTCCTTAAAGGAGACTTGTGCTCCCTACTTCTGTCTCTCTTTTTTTTTTTTTCTTGTTTTTACCTGCTGATTCTTTAACTTTTAGGTCACATATTTCCTCAAGGCACTCCTCTGTGACTCTCAGGGTAGATGTAGTCCTCTCTGTTCTGTGCTCTCATAATCCTCTGTGCTTTGCTTCCAGAGAAACTCTTCCATTTTTAAAGTAGATTTTTGTTCTATTACTTATTCAGTCTGTTTCTCTAATTAGTGTGCAAGCTTCAGGAAGGCAAGGATCAAGTCTGTTTGCTTACCACTGTATCCTACTCCTTTTGTTTAGCTCAGTTACTGGCATATAATAGGAACTCATTAAATACTGAGCTTGCTTACAGTTTTATGTTGGTGACATTTTGCAGTCTATATAGAGAACATGTCTGAGATTTAAAAAAAATTTTTTTAAAGATTTTATTTATTTATTCATGAGAGACACAGAGTGAGAGGCAGACTTAGGCAGAGGGAGAAGCAGGCTTCCTGCAGGGAGCCCAATGTAGGACTCAATCCCAGGACCCCGGGATCATGCCCTGAGCTAAAGGCCGATGCTCAAACTGAGCCACCCAGGCATTACCATGTCTGAGACATTTATATAAGCCATGGAGAACAATAATAAGATATTGATAATAAGTCAATCATATATGTTGAAAATACATTATGCTCCATACTTTTCTATGTCTTTGGGAGTCTAAGAAATTCTGGAATAGGGATGCTTTTCCGGTTTTCTCTGGATTAGAATATACCCTCACCTAGATTTTCACAACATTTAAGTGTTTTTCCTTTTCCCATTTCTTGAGTGATTTTCTTTTTTTTAAGATTTTCTTTTTTTATTCACGAGAGACACACACACACAGAGACAGAGTCATTGGCAGAGGGAGAAGCAGGCTCCATGCAGGGAGCCCAATGCGGGACTGGATCCCGGGGTTCCAGGATCATGCCCTGAGCGGGAGGCAAATGCTTAATCACTGAGCCACTCAGGCATCCCTCTTGAGTGATATTTTTATGTGTAAGTTGAAAGCTCTACAGTGAAGAGAATATATCACATTTAACATAAATGGCAGTAAAACTTGACCAAGCAATGGGTGTATGATATAGACATGCTGAATAACAAATAAGGTATGTGATCTTTAGCTGTGTTTTCTTCTGCCTTTTTGGAGATTCTGTTGAATTACCAAAGTACAATATGATTTATTTTTATAATACTTTGCATCAGCAAAAAGCATATATTAGATGCTTGGAAAATGCTTAGCTACAAATTTATGTCCCTCACAATTTATCTTCATTTGCATATGTTCTGGGAAATTTTAGTCTGTTCTGTTTCTCTTTTCAGAAAAAAATAACAAATTTCATCACCTTCATGTCTGTATGTTTCATTGTGGACTGTCAGTGCCATTCTTCATTTAAAATGAAAATGTTCTGATAGAGATACCTCCTATAATGATGATCTTTTTGGTGGAATTGATGGGATGATATAGACATGTTATCTCTAGGCCTCTGATAATTGTATTTCTTATTTTTGTTCTAGAAGAGATGCACTGCTTTGCATTAATAAGAAAATAGGATTAAAAGAAACATGAATAAGGATTATATTTGCAGAGCCTGTTTATTCAGCAGATGTTCATAAAGTACATACTTTGTGCCAGAAGCTAGGGAAACTCAGAAATAGATGGACACTTTCTATAAGACTTGAAATTTTTGTTTCAAGTGGTAACATTCTGATAAGAGGTGAGTTTTAGTTTAGTTTTTAGTTTTAGTTTTTATTAGCTTTGTCCTTTATCCCAGCTATGGAATGGGGATGATAAAAGACCCATCTCGTAAAGTTTTTGATAGGAGTGAATAAGATAGTTCATTTAAAACACTTACCCCAGTGCCTGATATATAATAAGAAGCACTCAGTGTTTGTTAGCTGTCATTTACTATGAGACTTCGTAACACAATAGCCTCTTAACAATTTATTTTCCTGTGTTTGTTTCTGTTTATTTTTTTCTGTATTGCTATCAGAGCTAAATTTCTAAAACAGATCTGATTGTGTAACATTACCTCTTGAGACCATCTTTTCAACTTTAAAACCTTTTGTGGTTTTCTGTTGTCACAAGAATAAGTCATGAATGGCATTTAGTACCTTACCATCTGACACTGACCTCCTTATCCAATGAGCTTCTGCCTTGGCCCCCCATTAGTGTGCAGCCCTAATAGTCTGTGTACAGTTATATTTAACTGCCTTGGCTTGTGTTCCTCTTTCCGCCTAGAATTCCTGTTATAGGCTTTAACCCTTCTTCTCACCCTCAACTCGAAGAAGCAATTCTGGGTAATATGGGCAGCCCAGAGATAACCTCTTATTCTTCCCAGACAGAATTTTTTTGATCCCTGTCATTTCTTTATCTTTAGCATTTATCACATTATTAAAGTTAATTACGTGTGTCTCGCTCTTCCACTAGCTTGTGAGTTCCCCTTAGAGCAGAGACCATAACTTATTCATCATTGTATCACTAGAACCCAGTGGGCACTCAGTAAAAACTTGTTGAAATAATGGATTGAGATTTGGTTTTAACTTTGTTTTAATTTCAGTGTTTCTTGTTATTCTAGGTTTTGGGCCTTATCCAAAATATGAGTGTTTTCCAGTGTCCAAAATGTAAACACAGAACTCATATTTTTGGTGCTGATGGTGCAAGAAGACTAGCACAGACCCTTGATCTTGATATTCTAGGTAAACCATAAGATATTCCTTTGCAGAGGAAATGGCAGAAGGGAAGGTGGGGATAAGGCATGATGATGAAGTGTCTCAGAAAATGATGATTGTCTTCAGTTTTGTATTTTAAATTAAGATAGGGAGTTGTACATGTTAACCTTTCTTTGCTTTTTATAATATTTCACTAGTGGAAAGCTTTTGAAGAGGAGACCTATTCTGCCAATTATAACTTTTACTGTAGGTAAAAACTGCCTATAACTTGAATTTGAGAAGAGTTTCATGGTCTGATTACTGTAATTTAAGTCCTTATTTTAAATAACGGTTGTCTGTTTGCTAAGTTGGGAGCACATATCTCAGTATAAACAGATATGTGAAAACACCTGGTTAATATGTTGTAGCAACCTTTGAAAGTGTCAGTTCTTGGTACATATGAAAAAAATGCCTTGCTCTAGAAAAATAATATTCTTTTTTCTGTAATTTTTTATATATTTTTGCCATGTCTTTGAGCTTTGGCACCTGAAATTTATATTGTGTATACTGTTCACATTACTGAACTGAAGGATTAATTAGTATTATGAGAAGTAAAATCATGTGGTGAGTGAGCAAAACACAGATTTTAGATAAAACATAATTTTTGAAAAATCCACAAGCAACTTAATGGACATTTTAGGAAACATGTGTTGGTATTTTCCTTATGAATGAGTGTCTGTTCTGGGCAAAGGCAGATGTTAAAAGCTGAATAGGGAAGAATAGAGTGAATTATTAGTTTTAGGTAGTTAACAATTAAGATCCCTTAGAAATAAAGGAATTTTAAAACATTCTTTATTATAATTAAATTTCTAAAAGTTGATGTTAAATGCATTATTGTTATTATGCATTTGCACTATAGCAGCCACCACACCAGGTGAATACTAATGATATATTTTGATACATTGCTATAATTATAGCCACTAATTATATTCTGCAACTGTTTTTTGTTTAACTAACCTAGAAAGTTCAATTTCCCAAATATGCATAGCAACAACAGATTGACATTCACTTCTATAATAAAGTAAATGTATAATTATAATGGCATTATTGAATTATGCTGACAATATTATAATTTCCTGATTTATAAATGGATGGTATGATATTGCAAATAACTTATTTAGAATTTGAAATATATCTCCTGGAGAAACAATCTCACATATGGAAGTTACATTTTAGCCAACAGCTCACAAATGTATAGTTACTTTAAAAATGTGTCAGAAACAGATTATTGATCACAAAAAATGGATAGTGCCTGTAGATTGCTGTAACTAACAGTGTTATGGGAAAAATAATTCAGAGTTTCAACTCAGGGCACGTCTCCTCTTTTTAATGTAGTCATGGGGCCCTGTGAGACATCTCATGATCTGAAGCAGGGGCTCCAATAACAAAGAAGTTGGAGTCAGGAAGGAGGACCTGAAATCAGAGTAAGAGCTTCCCAGTTATGGCCTCCTGGCTGGTTGAACTCCCTAGGAAGGCTTATATGTCCATTACTGACTCCCTGGCTGTCTCTTAATTTATTTTCATCCATTTGGCTATGTTAAATAATTATTTGATAAAATGGCTCTCAGAACTTTCTCCATATTACCTATAGACACAGATTGTATGTAGTAGTTATGTCTCTGAAATACGCCCTTGCTTCCTTCAGACCTAGCCCCTCAGAGATACTTTTCAAGTCCAGGCAGCACTTTACCCACTCTCCGTATCATTACTCCTTTTTATCCTTCTCTGTCATACAGCTGTTAGCCCATTACCACCCTTACTATGGTGTGCCACCTATTTTCTAAAAAGGTTTTCCTCTTTCTTGATCAGCTTTTCTGTGCTTTTATATATAGGATTAGGAGTCTCTAGAAGGCAGAAACTATATTGGTAGGTGGCTATGGAAAGGAGAAGGTTTTGCTTTTTTTTCTTCCATTACTGCAGTAGAAATTAAAGCATTCAGGATTCCTTACTATAATGGCATAAATCAAAGAAAAACCTTTATAGGTTTCTAAGAATTCTCTTTAACATATTTTCCCTTACTCCTGTGACAGTTTTTTATAGTCTTGTTGATCTATAGAATAGATCCTCAAATTTACTGAAAAGCTAATCTTAATTTTTTTTTTTAAGATTTGTGTATTTATTCATGAGAGACATAGAGAGTCAGAGACACAGGCAAAGGGAGAAGCAGGCTCCCTTCAGGGGAGCCTGATGCTGGACTTGATCCCAGGACTCTGGGATCATGACCTGAGCCAAAGGCAGATGCTCAACCACTGAGCCACCCAGACACCCCAAAAGCTACTCTTTAAATGACTACTGAAATATCCAGGTATTTTGTCAGTTGGCTATTGAACCTTTAGAAAAGATTTAAAGAGTTGATTAAAATCCCCAAATTTGCTGACAAGAGGAGATTGAAATATGTTCCTCTATGTACTTTATAATGTAACTTGTAATAGGTTTGTAATTTTGTAACATATACTTCTGCTTTATTTACATGACTTATTTCTATAAACCCATACATACACACATTCAGTAACCGTTGCATGAATTTGAAGTAGTTCTAAGAATGCTCAGTACTATGATAAATCAACTCTCCTACCTATGACTCCATTTACTGCATTTTAAGTCTTAACCTTTTGAAAGGTTTCATTTGTGAAGGGATGGTGGAGTCAATTGGATGACAGATCAGAGCACTTTTCCCCTCAATTCTACCACCTAATAGTAACACATTCTCAGGAAAGACACACAACCTTTCCAACCTCCTGTCTAAATAGTGGAGGTTCTTATATACTTCCTGAGATCTCATCAAAGTTTACAAGTTATATGTAATGCTATATAGATTGACACCTAATAAAACTGAGGCGCCTGAGTGGCCTAGTCCGTTAAGTATCAGCCTTCTGCTCAGATCAGGATCTCGGGCTTGGGATCGAGTCCCACATTAGGTTCCCAGCTCATCCAGGTGTTGTCTTCTCCCTCTGCCCCTCCACCCTGCCTGTGTGCATACGCTCGCTCTCTCTCTCAAATGAATAATCTTTTAAAAAATTAAAGAGAAATAGTTCTGTCTGATAGAGAGGCAGGTAGTGGAGATAGCATATCTGCCTTACTTTTCAGAAGTTCTCTTAGCTCACTCATCTGCCAACATCAGGAAGATAATTTTATTATACTTTTTTTTGGACAACTTTGTCTCCTCATCTTTTCCTCTTCATTTTCCTGTTGTTATTTGGTATGGTATTTTTATGTCAGGCATTATAGGGAGAAATAATTTTACAAATATCTTCCAAGCCATTTCTTGCTGGAAGACCTCCAGCAAAGAATAAATCAGGGGCCTTATCCCTTGATTGGCTGCCACATAGCTTTCATATGTACATATACAATCACTGGACTGCCCTCAATGGAATATATTACCCCTGATTTTTATTTGAAATTCCTTTTTTAGAGATTTAACCACTTGAGGATAGTCATAATTCAAGTTGATTTGAATGAATTTAATTGATATTTTAGGGTTTTTTTCTGAAGTTCAAATAGTGAAATTCCAAATGCCTATATAAATTTTTGTAGTGTTAATGGATGTCTGGTGGACTCTTTTAGGAGACATTCCCTTACATCTTAATATAAGGGAAACTTCAGATACAGGCCAGCCGATTGTGTTTTCACAGCCTGAAAGTGATGAGGTAAGTGATGTTTTTAAATATGTATTTTTGTATCTTTAAAAGTAAAGATATTTACTTTTTGATACTTAGAAAATTGGGAAGATCAAGTTCATTTGCAGTGCGTGTGTTAAACAAAGATTAGTTAACTTATTTAAAGCATCCTTAAATAACTATTTTATATGGTAAGCATATCAGTGCTATCTCTGAATTATCAGCTGAATAGATAAACCTATGAAAACCTAGCCAGTTTTCTCATGAAGAACACAAACAATGAGTGTTTGTAAAATTCCTATTTTCCTGGCTAGCCATACCTAACTGCCCCAGGTTACCATATTTCAGTATTAGAAGTTCAGCTGATTATTAGGAAAAGGGAGACTAATGTAAAGAAGTATTGAGTTGGAGGTGCCTGGGTGGCACAGTCGGTTGACAATCTGACTCTTGGTTCAGGTTAAGTTGTGATTCAGGGTCATGAGATCCAGCCCTACATTGGGCTCTACACTGAGTACAGAGCCTGCTTGAAATTTTCTCTCCCTCCTCTTCGACCCCTCCCACTCATGCTCTTTCTCTTTCTAAAATATATAAATAAATCTTTATTTTTTTAAAGAATTGAGTTGGATATAGGGAAATTGTTATAATGCTTTAGAGATGGGATTTTCACTACATTTATTTTAATAACTATGATTGAGGAAGTAAGGTCGAAAACTAGTTGTGTTTCATTAGCCAATGTCATTGGGGATGCAGTTGATTGATTTTCAGGATTGCTGAAGCTTTACAACTTCAAGAATAAAATCTTTTATTTTACTTTCTTTTTTAGATAGGAATAAAATCAATCATGTATATCTCTTTTGTCCTAAGTAACACTTGCTATGTAAGCTAGAAGCTCAGCTATCATCTGAGTGCATCAGTTTTGATGTAGTTTTGTGCTCCTTGGCCGAAAAGCCCCGGTCAGCCTTCAGATGGTTATTCCTTTTTGTTCTTCCTTAGCTAATGGATATACTTCTTAGTACTATTATTTTGGCTATCTATAATTAGTACTACTATTCTCATTCTTTCTTTTCTTTTATCTTACGTGAAATGGAAAATAAAAGAGCCAAGCTTAGAGCTGTAAAAAAAAAAAAAAAAGTAAGGGTAAATCGACAGTCAGGAATCTTGGATAAATAAAGTATTTCGAGTTCTTTCTTTCAAGGGGCCCAAGTTCTTTTAGCCTTTATTAAGAGTAGTTACAGTATAGGTGATTGAGTTGTTGGGGATATGATCTCTGAGAAAATAGAGTATAGTATGTAGCATATCGTTGTGTTTCTTTTTTCTGTGTTTTAGGTAGTAAGGTAGTAAGTAAGTAATGTTAAATTTCCTTTTCAATCTTTTCTTAGAAATCTTTCAGATAAGCAAAAACAAGTTATTACTCTCATAATTTAAGTCTAGCAACCTAGCTACCATAGGTGTACTTTATGTTATGCAGTGGATGAAAATTCTATGAAAATAAAGCGTATTTTAATTACACACTTTTAGATGTCTCCTGAGAATAAACTAAAAACATTCTATGGTGATTTCTAGTGACTAAGAATAATTACTTACTAGATTATATCAATTACAAGTTTAGATTTTTTAAGTATTTTCTCCACCTATCCATTATCTTAATTTTTGGAGTTAATTGTTTTTTAAAATATCATTTACATTTACATAAACATTAGACCTATCATTTCACTGTTGCTGGCTGAATGAGAACAGCCTGACCCATTATAGTTTGTGCTAGATTTGATTTGGTGAGGTCTTGGCAAAAGTAGTGAGAATTTCGTGTACCAGATTGCCAACCTTAAACTGAAGACTTCTGAGCAATTTTAAGATTTAGACATGGCCATGAAAAGGGGGGAAAAATAGTGCCTTGTATTTATTCTGTTTCCATGGAAATTATTACTTCCGACTCTTAGATTGCAGACATTCATTAAATATCCTCCTAATAATAATGGCAATTATAGTGTACCAGACACTGCCAGACATTTTACTTACATAATTTCTGTGCTCACAACTTAGTACAATGTATAAAAAGTCCCCATTTTACAGATGAGGAAACTGAGGTTCAGAGAAGTTAATTTTCCCAAGGTTACAGAACTGATAAATAGTAAAATGTGATTAATAGACAAGTCTTCCTTGCAAACATTGGCCTCCTTCCATTATATCACTCCAGGTCCTATACTAATAGCTATGCTTTCTTTAACTTGTTTTAAGAAGTAGTACAATACTTGGGTACATTAAATACATTATCTTATTTGATTCCCATAACACATTTGTGAGACATATATAATAATTGTATGTATATGTATAAGATATGTATAATAATAATGTATAATAATAAAATACAATAATCTCCCATTTTTCAGATGAAGAAGCAGAAGTTTATTTAAAGAAAGGAACTATCCAAGATAGTGCTAGAGGCTATTTCCCCTCACAACTGTGACACCATATTCTATTCATTCTCCTCCCAATGCAATACCTGCTTCCCTTCCTAATAAATTGCAAGATTAGCTCAGTTTCTATGATGTATATTTAGATTGGAATTTAGTTCACCTCTGTTCATATCACAGTATCCTTCTGTTAACCCTTGTGATGAATATTTCCTCTGATAGCCCCCTTCTCTTTTCCCCTGTGAACTCCAATGGAAATAGCTAGTAACAGCCCTCTCAGCGAATTCTGTTGTATTTGTGGAAGCTTAATGCCCATTCTACTTGCGTGTCTTCATTTAAAGAATAAAGTTTATACTTGCCAACATGGTAAACTTCTGCAAAAGTTAATGGGACTGAACCTTTAAAATTATTTGTTAATCAATAGCCCCTTAGATCAACACTTTTTATTGTTTGCTTTTAGGGGTTGACCTAAGGTAAAATTATTAATCAGTAAAGGTTTCATCTTCAGTTGTTTTTTTTTTTTAATGAAGTTTTCTTTTTCTTTTTTTTTTTTAAGATTTTATTTATTTATTCATGAGAGACAGAGAGAGAAAGAGAGAGAGGCAGAGACATAGGCAGAAGGAGAAGCAGGCTCCATCATGGACCCCAGGATCACGCCCTCGGCCAAAGGCAGACCCTCAACCCTGAGCCACCCAGGCATCCCAAGCTTTTTGTTTTCTTTCTAACTCCACCTTCACCATCTCCCATCACTCCCTCCTCTCAACACCAGATTCCAGGGCTGTCATTCTTTGTGCATCAGAACTTTTAAAATTGGACATTAGAGACTTCACTCTCCCAGTAACATTTAACTTTTGGAGGACACAAATGCTTCAGTGATTAATTTAAAATATGGTTCATGCTGAATTTAAGGCATCATCAGAAAAGATGGAAAGAGTTGCAGTACCAGTTAAAAAGCACCATCAAGCTGCTGCCTTCCCAGTCATTGGGCAACTCTCTGAACATGTGCACTGCTGACAAAAGGGGAATAATTGAAACTCCAAATATAGTAGTAGATAATAGCTAGAGAAAGCCACAGAGGAGGGGAGAGGAAGTAGACACTTAGGATTCAGAACTCTTAAATTCAATAGCATTGCCTCTTGTTTGTGTGATTATAATTGTAATTCAATTTTATCTACTTTTTGCCTTTGCTTTAGTTCAGGACACAAGTAATGGACCCATGACTGACTAATAATTTTCATCCTTTTGTTGCCAAATAAGAATGTTAATATTGACATACAGAAAGGTGTACTATAAGTTATTCCTGGTAAAGACTTTCAAATATAAGTGGAAATTTTATTATCTTATAATTTCTAAATTATTACCACATAATCTTAATATGAAATCACCGTGTATGATAAAGTAGAACTTCAAATCTTTAAAAACAAAGACAAAGGAAAAAAGTTCTCCATAAAACTGCTTGCACTTTGATTGCCGTCCATTTCCTTTAACTTGTTAATATAGAGTAAATAGGATCCAGCTATCTTAACCATGCTTCTGGATGACCCAATAAAAAATCTCCGGTAGAAGTGTTATTCTATGTATATTTGAGGTGATGAAAAAAGAGTATTAATAGTTTGAGAAATATAAATCATTTTTTGGTATATGATACACATATTTGCCTTTTTGCTAGTTATGGATTAAATGAAAGGGAGGGATTTAGTTTACTATTTCCTCAGCCAGAAGTATCTATGAATACATGTTCATGTGAGCTTTTCAATGAGATTGTAAAGTACTTAAGGATATAATAGGAATAATAGCAGCCACTAATATTTACTTCTTTTGTGCCAGTACGACACATACTTTATTATTACTTAATATTACCCCATACTCTTTGAGGTAGATACTATTACTTCAGCCATTTTAGAGATGTGGAAATTGAGTCTTAGAAGGGTTAAGTAACTGGCTCAAGGCCTCATACTAATAAGTGATGGAGCTAAGTTTTAAACCATGCTTGTCCAACTTCAGAGCCCCAGGTCTTCACAAATGAGCTATTCTGGCTTCCTTTTTATATTGTTACATCCTAGAAATTTCCCAAAACAGTGACTTGCACGTGATAAAAATCAAAACATATTTGTTGAAGTGATACTGCATTGGCTGAAAAAATTCTATCTCAACAGTTCTGTAGAAATCGAAACTGTGAAACTAAGCACTTTTAGTGATTTCTTAGCAAATGACAATCTAAGCATTACTTTGAGTGTGATATATTGAAAGTTTAAGCTTGGAGATAGTCCATTAAAAAGCAAAGGTTAAATGTAGCAAATTTGATTATTCTGGAATCATTCGGTATTTTGTGTAGTCTGATAGGTTTATGTCTCTAATTTAACATAAGTAAGAATGTAAAGATGAGAGAATGATGGCCTTCTCTCAGCTTGCCTTAGTGAACTTTAAATTTTCATCACAATAATTTTAGGCTTAAATACTCAGAAAAGCTAATAGAGATAAAAGGTATTTACAAAGATGCATGGGTGAAAATCAGCACACTAGGTTTAAGAGAAATATTTATTTACAAAGTACATGCTATTTCCATTTTTAAGCAAAATTGTTTCTGTTAACTACAGAGAGTGAAACCATTTTTATTTTTATTTTTTTAAGGTTTTTTTTTTTTTTTTTTTTTTTAATATTTATGAGAGACAGAGAGAGAGGCGCAGAGACACAGGCAGAAGGAGAAGCAGGCTCCATGCAGGAAGCCCGACATGGGACTCGATCCCAGGTCTCCAGGATCAGGCCCTGGACTGAAGGCAGCGCTAAACCGCTGAGCCATCTGGGCTGCCCTGAAACCATTTTTAGATCAAGCATTATGATTAAAATTGCTGGTACTTTGGATTTACTGTTTAATATGTAGTAGAAGGATCTACGCTTTGCAGTTAGATGGACCCAGGTTTGAATATTCTCCAGCTTACTGCCTTTGTGACCTTATCCAAGTTGAGTTGATGATGCTTGTTTTACATAAGTGAAATTACTTATGCCAAATACTTGGTATAGTTGGTACTAAATTTAAAAAAATTTAGGGCTTTATTCATATTTTGAAACTTTTTTTTATGGACTCAGGTGAGCTTTTTAACATTTTTCTGGTAAAACAAAAGAATTCAGCTGTTAGGGCTCAAGCATGATTTTTAAAAGTGAAAATGAGCGAAACACTTAAGACACTCATCAAGTTGCAATAAACAGACCTCAAATTGTTCTTTTACCGTGCAGAGAGTTGGTCAGTCTAGGTTCAAAGACTAGCTCATCCCATTCAGCTGTAATGCTTTGGGCAAGACTCTTCACCTTTCTGGTTCTTGGTTTCCTTATCTATAAAGTGGGGTTTCTGACAGAATTTCTCCCTTAGGGTGGCTGTGAATTTAGATGAAACAATGCTTGGTAAATATTAAATACTCAAGTAAATTTTAGCTATTATCAGTCATAGTAGCTGTAGTAGTTAAAGTAGCAGATATTCATAAGTCTAAGTATATAAATGTATAGATTAATGGTTTTAGAAGATCCACTATTGTATCTTACAGGTTTCATAGATTAGATAGGGTAAATAAATAAGATTTGCACTGCAGTTATTTAAAACTGATAGAATGCAAATGTCATGACCCTCATTCTAACTGGACCATGTAGGCATTGGTTAGTTTGTGGCCCACAGTGGCTTGTTGTTCTTATTATTTGGCTGCACTGGGGAGCCCACAGATGAAGAGTGTAACAACTGATCCCAGAAATTCTTGCCTGGTACCCAAAATTCAGCAGATGAAGGAGCCTTACAGGGTGCTCGCTGCTGGTACTGGATGCCATTCTCAGAGAGATGAGGAAAATGCTTTCCAAAGATAAACCATAGGGTGATAATAAACAGTCCTATTTAAAATGACTAACAGCTCTTATGCCACAAAAGTTTTGGCAGTGTCTAACTCAAGATATCAATTTGTCAGAAGAGGAAGATATAATTTTTCTACAACTAGATTGGGTTTGCTAGTTTGCTGACTTGGAATTAGAGCTTAAAAACAGTAATTGCTGGTATTAAATATTTTTTCAGAAAGTCACCTTCTAAGTATCTGCCCCCTCAATAAAATTCTTTCTTCCCTCTGTGTACACCTGCAGTGTATACAACAGCATCCTCTCACTGCTGAATTTCCTCATCTCACTCAGGCTTTTCACTATTCAGTTCAGTAGACAGCTCTGGCAAACAGTTCATGAGTCATTTGATGTCTGCTGGGGAGAAATACAGAACAAATGAGTCTCTTCTTTTCCAGGCCAAAGCTTACCTGAGGATTGCTGCAGAAGTAGTAAAAAGATTGCCGCCACCTCTAAAGTGAGTTCCGCAAGTGTTCTGGAATTTTGCCTGGTGCTTAACAATAAGAAGACCTTTGGAAGTCAGCAATGTGGTTATGAAACGTACAGGAATAGTAGTAATCATAGTTGTTTTCTTGTACTTCTAAGGAAATAATGTCTTATGTTCAGATTTGATTTGCTAAGCAGTAACTCACAAATAAAATTTTTATATATCAATGCTAACCACTACATTTAGGAATTTACTGAAAGCTGGTGTGTACCAACTGCACAGACTGCATTTTATTTTAATGAATTACCTCTTGGGGAATCAGGAGTTTGTGTTAGAAGCCCAATCTTCCAGTCAGGAAAGAACTGTGTTCTTTTTACGGGACTACAGAGTAGTCATTTAAAGGATTTACTAAATTCGTGTGCTGATATAAGTATGACAACACTCGGGAACCCTGGGTGGCGCAGCGGTTTAGCGCCTGCCTTTGGCCCAGGGCGCAATCCTGGAGACCCGGGATCGAGTCCCACGTCGGGCTCCCGGTGCATGGAGCCTGCTTCTCCCTCTGCCTATGTCTCTGCCTCTCTCTCTCTTTCTCTGATGACTATCATAAATAAATAAAAATTAAAAAGAAAAGTATGACAACACTCTGTCAGTTTGGTCTGGATTTAAATCCTGCCTTGGACTATCTTGGACACATTCATAATATAAATAAACCTTTACTTCATCTGGACCAAGTTTACCCTAGACTTACTAAATATAATCTGCTGGGGTGGGGCCTGGACATGTGTATTTTTAACAAGATCATAATGATTTTGATTCTGATTCTGATAGAAATAGAATAATAGGTAACATTTATCAAGTGTTTTCTTATGTCCTTATAATTAATCTTCCATTCATATGAGTGAGGTAATGTGTTATCTCTGCTATATAGATGAGAATACTGAGATATGGGAGTGTTAAGTGTCTTGCTGAAGGTTACTATTTCAGCAAGTGATGGAGCTGGAATTTGAACTTGAGTGGTAGGATACTGGATCCTTCCTTTTTTACACAAAGAACATTCATTTGTTTCAAAAGAGAGAAACATGGTATTCAGCATTTCTTAAAACTTCTGAGACCATGAAACTGACCCTTTCCCCATTTAGGACCATTTTGTGGAGTTCATATTTCAAATGATACACTTTGAAAAACACTTGTCTTGTCTAGTTGAGGCTCAGAGAAATTCAGAGGGCTTTCCAAGTTTAGGTAGCAAGATAGTTACAAAGCTGCAAATACTGATAAGAATCAGTAGTTGATAAAGAAGCAGTCTATGACCTTTGGCAAATACCTTGACATCTTTTGTTTTGTGTCTGGCTTAAATAGCCAGAAAATTAGTCAAAGAGTTGCATGTCATTATAAACATGTTTTCACACACTTATGTTCACATAAAAAACTACATGAGTGTTCATAGAGGTTTTATTTGTAATAGTAAAAAACAATGCAGAGTTTTTCAATGGGCAAATAGTCAAACTGTGATATATCCATACCATAGAATACTACCTAGCAATACAAAAGAACAAACTATGGACATATGCAACAGTGCGTATGAATTCCAGAGAACTATGCTGAATGAAAAAGCCACTCCTACAAGGTTTTATGCCATCTGGCTCCATTTATGGAACATTCTTGAAATTATAAAATTATAGAACTGGATAACAGATTAGTGGTTTCCAGAGTTTAAGGGGGAGAGTTGTGTGACTATAAAACGGCAACATAAGGAATCCTTGTGATGATGGAAATGTTCTATATTGTGACTATATCAATGTCAGTATCTTGGGAGATAATTGTACTATAATTTTGCAAGATGTTATTGTTGGAGGAAATTGGATAAAAGGGCACAGTGAAATCTGCATTGTTTCTTACACTGCATGTGAGTCTACAATTACTTCAAAATAAAAATAAAAGTTTAATTAAACACACACTGCTGTGACTGCACTAAAAGGACTTGAGCCAAATTATCCATGCTAATTAAAATCATGAATAAAAGTATTTGTGAACACACAGTAATCATCATCATTGTGAGAAGGAAGTAATGACTTTAAGTTGTAGATTTATACTAGTGTTTTTATCATTTTTTTGAGAGAAGACAGGTATAAATAATCATTGAGCACTTCTAAATACCAAAAAGCAGGTACTTGAACCAGGCTTAGCTTTACCTAGAAAAAGAATGATTTAAATAAGCTCCAGAGACACTTAAAAGTTGTGTGCCAATTTATGCATCTCGTAGAGAAAGGCGAAAGTTCATTTTTTCTCATAAATACATGGCTTAGCGCTACACATAGAATTACCCGCTCTCTTCTCCTTTATTCTTGTGTACAAGTCTCTGCAGATGCTTCCAGGAAAGCCACAGAAAAGATGGTGGTTGGAGTATATATACAGGTTCATAAGTGGAAGAAGAAAAAGTAACCGTAATAGCTAGAATGAAGCTTATTCTAAAATTTAGCCTATGGCAGCCTTTGCTAAGTCTCAAAGAGCTGACTTTAAAGATAGACTGTCAAGCACAGCTAGTCCACCTGTTGTTAGGGGTAATATTTGTTCCTTATTCTTCACATGTCCCTAGAGTATAGAGAATTTCCATTCCAATCTCCAGGAGATGAAGGCAAGCTGCCCCACTCACTCCATGCCAGGGAAGCAGGAGTAATACATCTTATGGGTAAATTTCTTCCTGTCTGCATTTCTTTGATTTCAGCCAGATCCTGAGCTTCCTGAGGCAGGCTACAGGGAAGCCTGTCCATCCCTGCCCTGGACATGGGTGGGCAAGTTCATCTAATTTGAGGGTTGGGTATTTGGTAGTCCACTGGAGTCACATACCCTCTACTCCAGCTTTTTGTCAGTAATAGAGCTAATATTTTTTACCATTATCTGAATTGTGCCTCTCAGTTCCAAATAGGAAAAGAATTTTCTCCCTTAAACACCACACTCCAAAAAACATACCAATACCTTTCTAGAATCCTAGAAAATCAGAACCAAAGAGTACATTAGAGTTCAGAGACTTGCATCACTCCATTGGAAACACTTCTAATTAAAAAAATAAGTTCACCAATGGCCAGAAGCTTTCTGGGTGGGGGGTGGGGGGATGGGGAACAATGGGAGGAAGTTATACTGTATATAATGTATACGGTATATACAGTAAAGCATGGGAAACATATAGGTCAATTATCTGCAAAGTGGACACCCAACACTAGGTTAAGAAGGAACATCACAGAAGGAACATCAACATCACAGAAGCCTCAGTACTTTCTCTCACAATTGCTGCCCTCTTCTTCCCTTACAAAGTTAACTATTTACTGATGTCTTAACACCTTCAACATTATAGTTTTGCCTATTTTTTGCAACTTATATTAAATGGAATGATACATTATTTTGCTGTGTATTAATTGCTTTTATTTTGCTCTATATAATTGCTCTTTATTGTTTCTGAGTTCCACCTCTAACTGCATATAGCAGTTCATATTATATGCTGTAGAATATTATGTTGTTTGAATATACCAAACTTACCCATTCCACTGTAGATGGATATTTGGATTGATTCCAATGTTTTATTCTTAGAAATAGTGCTGCTATGAGCATTCTTATACATACTTCTTGGTGTTCCATTTCTATTGAGTTATTTATGAGACTAGAATTATTGGTAGTTGTTTAGTGGTATCTCATTGTGATTTTAACTTGCATTTCCGTGTTACAAGTGAAATTGAGTACCTTTACATATATTTATTGGCTAATTATATTTCCTCTTTTGTGTACTGCCCAGTCAAATCTCTTGCCCATCTCTCTATTATGCTGTTGGAGCACTTTATGAATCCTTGTCAGTTTTATGTTGAAGTCTTTCCCACTGTATTATGATTTGCTTTTCACTCTCTTAATGGTGTCTTTTGACAACCAAATAACCTTAATTTGAACATACTCAAATTTATTATTTTCCTTTATGATATTGATTTTTATGCAGTGCCCCAAGGTCATGAAGATATTATCCTATATTAATTTCTAGAAGTTTTAACGTTGTTTTGCCTTCTATATTTCGTTTTTAAATCCAGCTGGAATTATTTTTTTGTTATTAGGTGAGGTACCCTTTAAGTATTTTGTTTTGTTTTGTTTTGTTTTCTTATGGTTATCTAATTGTCCGGTGGGACTCTCTGTTTCCTCTACTCTTCTGCAGTACCACCTTTGTTGTAAACTAAATGTCTGTGTTTCTGTTACTCTGTTTATGGCCTTTTATTCTGTCTCATTGGTTTATTTGTCTGCCTTTGCATCAGTAACTTACTGTTTTGTTCACCATCACCTTGTTGTTCTTCAAGAATGCTTTGGCAATTCTTGATATTTTTCATTTTCATATAAATTTGGGGCCAGCTTGTGACATTCAAAACAACAACAAACTACTAGAGAGTTTCAATTTTGTTTAGGATGGAGAAGACTAGGAAGAGCATCATACTACTCTTAGAAAAAGAAAAAAACTGTATAATCTACAAAATCATAGATTTTCTTAAACCCACCAGAGATCTTAAGTTACATTGCAACCAAGTCATCTGACATGTATGAAAAGACAGACTCCTTCAAGGAGAGACAGGATGCAAGTATACCTTTGGCAAAACACAGAAGAGATGACAAGCTCCCTACAAACAGGTTAGAAAAATCCAGTGAAAATTTTTAACAAATTGCTAAAAGTTGAGTGTGGGATAACAGAGAAAACACAACCTCTGGAAACTGCTAATGGAGGTGAGTTTGCACCCACTTATAAGCTTTTCTCTATGGATCTTACAAGGTGCCCAAGAGAAGAATTGAGCTTAGTTAGGGCAAGGGACTAGAGACAGCCCTAAGTAGTACAGGCCTGGAGAAGGAGAGTAGCTGATGTTTTGAGGAAAGCACAAACCTTGCCTAACTCTCCTTCCCTATGGTACAAACACCAATAAGTCACTAGGGGAGGATAGTAAACCTGTCCTCAGATGAAAACCCATTATGACTGCCAGAGAGGAAATAGAAAAACCCTCTAATTATGGAGGAGAACAGGAGGTCATCCTGACCCTGGCCATTAAAGACATCCTATCACTGAGGGAGGGTGGTATCACTGAGAAAGCCCATTCACCAAGACTCAGGGACATAGGGCTTACCTAAGCTAAGGCTGGATCAGACAACAGAGAATCCCCTGCCTCGTAGCAAGCTAGCAAGCACTAAGTATCAAATATTAGCAGTGTCCACTGGTGGAGGAGGGTAAAGAATATGAATAGAGAGATCAAAAGCTAAGAGTAGAGCAACCTATCCTTCAACTTAAGCACAAGGTAATAACAGAGGGATCTGAAGCCAGTAGTGTACTGAAGGTAATCATAACAACAAAACCTAAATAAGATGAACTCCTGACTAAATTAACTCAGAACTGTACATTGTTTCTAACAAAAGTCATGCACATTTTCAGCCGTAATACTATTTACCTCCATTTCTGCTGCCCTACACATGATGTCCAGCATTCAATGTAAACAATTATAAGAGAACTAGAACAAATAATCCTAAAATTCTTTTTTTAACGATTTTTTAAATATTTTATTTATTTATTCATGAGAGACACACACAGAGAGAGAGGCAGAGAGACAGACAGGAGAAGCAGGCTCCATGCAGGAAGCCTGATGTGGGACTCGATCCCGGGACTCCAGGATCAGGCCCTGGCCTGAAGGAGGAGCCAAACCGCTGAGCCACCCAGGGATCCCCCTAATCCTAAAATTCTTATGGAACCACAAAAGATCCTAAATAGCCAAAGAAATCTTGAGAAAGAAGAACAAAGCTGGAGGTATCACATTCCCAGATTTTAAGATAGACTACAAAGTTATAGTTATCAAAACAGTATGGTACTGGCACAAAAATAGACACATAGATCAATGGAACAGGATAAAGAGCCCAGAAATAAATCCATACTTATATGGTCAATTCATCTATGGTAAAGAAGGAAAAAATATACAATGACAAAAAGAAAGTTTTTTTCAATAAATGGTGTTGGGAAAACTGGATCATTTTCTTACACCACGCACAAAAATAAACTCAAAATGGATTAACAACTGAAATGTGAACTCAAGCCATAAACTAAAAGAAGACATAGGCAATAATTTCTTGGACATTGGTCTTAGTAATGTATTTATGGATATATCTCCCCAGACAAGAGAAACAAAGGCAAAAATAAACTAATGGGACCACACCAAATTAAAAGTTCTTGCATGGTAAAGGAAGCCATCAACAAAACAAAAAAAGCAACCTACTAAATAGGAGAAAATATTTGCAAATGATACATTCAATAAGAGATTAATATCCAAAACATATATAACTCAGCCTCCAAAAAAAATTGATTATAAATGAGCAAAGGACCTGAATAGACACTTTTCCAAAGAAGACTTAGAGATGGCCAATAGGCACATGAAAAGATGCTCAACATAACAACTCACACCTGTCACAATGGCTAGTATCAAAAACAAAAAAAATAACAAATGTTGGCAAAGATGTGGAGAAAAGGGAACCTTTGTGCACTGTTGAGAATGCACATTGGTGCAGCCACCATGAAAAACTGAGGTTCCTCAAAAAATGAAAAATAGAAATGTTAAATGATCCAGTAATTCCACTACTGGATATTTACCTGAAAAAAAAAAAAGAAAACATTAACTTAAAAAGATACATGTACTGCTATGTTTATTGTAGCATTATTTAAAATAGCCAAAATATGGAAGCAACTTGTGTCCCCTGATATCTGAATGGAGAAAGAAGATATGATGTGGGTGTATGTGTGTGTGAGTTGGGCTATTTCTCAGTCATAAAAAAGAATGAATTTTTTTTTTTTTGCCATTTGTGGTAACATGGATAGATGTAGAAGGTATTATGCTAAGTGAAATAAGTCAGAGAAAGACAAATACTAGGTAATTTTACTTATATGTGGAATCTGAAAAACAAAGTAACAAAAAAGAAAACTGACTCATAGATAAAAAGATCAAACTGGTGATTTCCAGAGGG